AGAAAGAAAAGTGTAAGTATTTAAGGACTTGAGTTCCAATGTCATATATCACAAAAGATAACAAACAACTGATTAGATTATTTATTGAAGCAAAGACAGCCTCTTTAATAAATGGTGTTGGGAAAATTGGACAGCTACATGCAAAAAAATGAAAGTAGACCATCAACTTACACCATACACAAAAATAAACTCAAAATGGATAAAAGACTTAAATGTGACTTGTGAATCGATAAAAATTCTAGAAGAAAATGTAGGCATCAAAATTTTGGACATCATACGCAGCAGAATTTTCACCTAAGGTAACAGAAACAAAGGAAAAATGAACACATGGGACTACATCAAACTAAAAAGCTTCTTCACAGCAAAAGAAACAATCATCAAAATGGAAAGGCAACCCACTGTATGGGAGAAAATCTTTGCCAATGATACATCAGATAAGGGGTTAATTTCCAAAATATATAGAGTACTCATACAACTCAACAAAAGGAAGACAAAGAACCCAATTAAAAAATGGGCAGAGGAACTAAATAGACACCTCTCCAAACAGGACATACAGATGGCCAAGAGACATATGAAGAAATGCTAAACATCACTAATCATCAGAGAGATGCAAATTCAAACAACAATGAGGTATCACTTCACACCTGTCAGAATGGCCGCCATCAACAAATCAAACAACAAGTGTTGGTGAGGGTGTGGAAAAAAGGGGACTCTAGTACACTGCTGGTGGGAATGCAGACTGGTGCAGCCACTATGGAAAACACTATGGTGTTACCTCAAAAAATTAAAAATTGAACTTCCATTTGACCCAGTGATCCCACATCTAGGAATATACCCTAAGAAGCCTGAAACACCAATCAGGAAGAATATATGTACCCTCATGTTCATAGCAGCACTATTTACAATAGCTAAGATCTGGAAACAGCCCAAGTGTCCACCAGTAGACGAATGGATACAAAAGCTGTGGTACATATACACAATGGAGTACTATGCAGCGGTAAGAAAGAAAGATCTCTTATCCTTTGAGATGACATGGAGGGACCTGGAAAGTATTATCCTAAGTGAAACAAGCCAAGCAGAGAAAGACAAATACCACATGATCACACTTATGTACAGAATATAATGAACATCATAACAGTCTGAGGAATATGGTAGATCCAGAAACATGGAAGTAGGGTACAGACTGACAACCCCCAGAAGAGGGGATGGTGGGGGTGGGAAGAGATAAACCGCAGAACTTATATGCAGGTATGCATAACCAATGGACATGGACAACAAAGCCAGGGACGGGGTGCGGGGAATGGGGAGGGGGTGCCCATGGGATAAAAAAGGAGAAACATCTGTAACAAAAATAATATTAAAAATAAATAAATTTAAACAATAAAAATAAATAAATAAAAAACAAACAACTGATTAGATTATTTATTGCATTGATGAAAGCTGGACTTTTGTCAGGCGTTGTTCGCAGGTCCCGAGGTTTAACATTTTTCATCAGTGTGTCAAGGTACGTAACTACATTTACTTGTGATTCCATTCCCTTTCAAAGTTTCTTGATACTTTCCCCCTAATTACCTCCTCTTACTTCATAATACTTTTAATATTTGCCTGTGGTATATGTTTTCTGCTTAAAGGAATTTAACTCTTTTTTTCTTGAGTGTTTTAGATATGCTAACGCTTTAATTATCAACATCACTGAATTCTCCATCTAGGAAAATTAGGATTCAAAACAGACCCTCTTTCCATTGTAGAACATTACTTTTAACATATCTTTCCTTTTAAAAATACTTCTATGTCTCACTGCTTCTCCTTCTAGCTTTGTCTCTCTTCCTTGAACTTTCAAATTCTGAATGTGACCCATTTGTTGAGTGCCTTTCATTTCCTTGACACTTGTTCATTCCCGAAGCTGTCCCTCACCACTCTCTTAAACTCCTTCACCAAGGTTTCCAAATTTGGCCTACTAATTGCCAGTATCTTGGCTTTTTTTTTTTTTTTTTTTTTTAGTTTTCCTTCATGCTTCCGCTTTACTTGATATTAGAGATAGCAGAGGGAATAACAGAAAAGGAATGTCCCAAGTAAGTATCTTGTTAGTAGATATTTAACAACCAGCTCTTCAATTGTAGCTTTTGCCAATTTCCATGGTGTAAATACTCCAACATGGATGATTTTAATCTCCCAATGTGATGTCACTGAACATGGAGTTGGGAGGCTATGTGAACTGGCTCTGGGGGCTGGTGTGAGCTGACTCCAGGGAACCACTGCATATCCTTTGTGGAATGCCATTAGGCCTTGGCTTTTGTAACTGAAGCACCCTGTTTCATTTCCTACCGCTCTGACTCCAATTTCTCTCCATTGTTTCCAGCCCATTGCTATTGTATCCATTCTAGGCAGCTTGTGCTTTAGACCCCAGGGGATCTCCAGTGAGCTTAGGGCAGTATTCCTCCTTGCATTTCAGAGTAATTGAGGGGACTCCTGGGAAGTCTTTTTACCCTTTCAGAGGTCTTAATGAGGGTCCAGAATTCAGCCATCTATCTGCATTTCTCTAAATTGCAAGAGCTGGCCACATTCTTCTGCTGTGAGTACTAACTGCCAAATGTGTGAGGGTGATCTCGCCCTCTGCCAAAGTGAGTAGGTAGATGTATCAGTGGATTTCTGAATTTGAAGTTTCCGACTCCTGCTTCACCTAGGTGTTTTTCCTGCAACTGCAGCACCGAGGGGCTGCTTCGTGGGTAAGTGTGCCTCAGGCTTTTCTATACACAGCAGCCCTCGTGTTTCAGCAGGACACGTGATGCATAACTTTTCTACCCGAGAAGTCAGTGGGCCGTTTTGACTCAGGAGGTACTTTGAATCTGTAGAGTAGTGAACGACCTGAAAATTACCTGTTCATGAGTCTTAAGAGACATCTGTTCTCTATGATACTGTGCTATCACCTTAGTACTGAAATGCGTTCAGTTCCTATTTATCATAAAATATCCTCAAATACATCTTTTATCAGATTCATTCACTAAGGCACTTAGATTTAAGTCTTAGATGCCTTTACCTGTAAACATCATTATTTTACACAGTACATGACAAGTTGAAAAATATTGTACCAGTTAGTTGAGCATCAGGGAAAGTTAAGTGAATGCAACATAGAATACAGGTCTCAGAGCTTTTACAGGGGCTTGCCAACTACAGAATAATCTACTTTTTTAGTGCTTCTTTGCATCTGAGCAGTAACAGGCGAGACTGAGTCTGGCAGAAAGGCTTTATTAGTACACCTCAAGTCATCTTCCACTGCTGAGCTGTTAGTGGTGACCTGCGCTTTCAGGAGGTTTGCTTTCACTGAGTACTCAGAGAAATAGAAAAATAGGTGTGATGACGTCTCATTCACATTCTAGCAGAGTGGTAGGTTGGTGAGTGTAACACTCATGTACAAAAATTAGGGCGGATTTCTGTTGCAGCATGACCACCTTGATATGATATAATTTTTGAAATCGTCTTCCCTTCTCTACTTTGCAGAATTAAACTTTGTCAAGAGAGGTAAAGATATGAGTGTTCATGGCACCCAAGGAATTCCATTTTGGACAAACATCAAGTTATCTTTTGAGCCTGTTGCCTGGCCTTTTATAGAGATTGGATTGAAACACAATGATACTCCTTATTTAGGTCTTTCATTCTGTTAACTTAAATTGTAGTGTAATTGGGGATATCGGGGTGGGTGAAAAATTATATCCCAAGGACCTACTTCATCTGATATTACTGCTAATGGAGGCCCTATTTTAAGAAGGCAACTCTGCATAATATTTAGCTCAGTCTGTGTTCCTGCAGTTTGCAAGTGATAAAATTACAAATGAATTAGTTTAGTGAGTCCAAATAAGGAGCAAGTAATATAGTTTATATTCTAAATATTCCAATTATAACTGCATGGTTCATTTTGTCGTTTTCTAGAGAAAATTTTAAGCTGTCTGTGTGTGCGTGAATATTATACAATTTGTCCCATTTGGTTTGCCTTTGTCTATATTCTCTCTCAGCCTGGTTACCCTGGTTACGATTACATACACTCTTGTACACAAAGATCCTCTTTGACGTACATTTATTTCTATGGAAACAATGATGTCATTGGTATGGGTGTGTACTTAGGGAAAGCATAATGAAGTGTTGAATATTGATCTTTCTTCTGGTCATAAAATGTATTATTAAATTACTTTTTTAATTAGAGAACTATATTTTTGCTTTCCCTTTGACTTGGTCATGAAGCTACATTTTTCCTTGTTTATAGACCTACTTGAATAAATGTTAAATATACTGTACATCTCCTTATGATATGTGGTGCCATAAAGCTCAATGCTCATACATAAAACAAAAAAGGGGTTATTACTTTAACCTTAAAAGTGTCTTAGAGAGCTCTGATGAGTTTAGCTCAGCAGTTAGAGCATTAGCTTGAGGACCTAAGAGTGTCGGGTTCGATTCCAGTCAAGGGCACATACCTTGGTTGCAGTTCTGTCCCCAGCCCTGGTCCGGGTTGTACAGGAGGCAACCAATCCAAGTGTCTCTCTCACATCAATGTTCCTCTCTCTCTCTCTCTCTCTCTCTCTCTCTCTCCCCCCCTCCCACTTTGACTGAAGATAAGTGGAAACATATTCTCACGTGAGGATTTTAAAAAAAAAGTGTCTCAGAGAGTAAAAAGTTTATCTCACTATCACATTTTTTATTATCAAAAAATTGTATAAGTAATTTTATATCCCCATCAACACAAGGAGCAATGTATAGATGGTAGATCAAGAGGAAAATAAACCCCTGCTTGTAGTCATTATTTTTAAAGTCTCTTGGTTTAGAGACTCAAGGATATAACAGGGAACTGATAGTTATTAAAATGTGTTCTATGATATTACATAAGGTCATGTATAATTAGCATTTCATTTTCTTTTAAGTCTTAAGAGGCTTTTAAACCTTTTTAAAGCATCGATTTTACTCCATTTTACTTCCACACTAATCCAGTCTAATATTTTTTTTCTTTATAGATGATGTGGAAACCTGCTTATGATTTTCTCTATACTTGGGGTGCTCACTACGGAAATAGCTACAGAGATGTGTTACAAGACCTTCAGTCAGCTTTGGACACAATGAAAAACCCTGTGACCAAGCAGTGGCGAGACTTAACTGGAGTTTTATTGCTGGTGCATTCTTTAGAGGCGCTGAGAGAGGCTGCCTTCCCCACTTCCGAGGAAGTGTAGACCAGGGAGGGCATGTTTGCTGGAGGAGGGAGAACGGTAGGGGCAGCATGTGTGTGCAAGAAAGTGCTGAGGAAAACATTACCTACTTCTTTCATATTTTCCACGTGAAAGCACAGCAGAATCCAAAATCCAAAATGGGCTTTATAATCAGACATGTATTTCTGTAAATATTTCAGTGCCAACATTGGGCTGCTTTATTGTTGAGAATGGAAAGAAAAACGTTCTCTTCCTTACAAAGTTACTTTTAACATTTTTAAGTTAAATCAAATGACTATTCACATCATTACATCACACAGATACCCAGATAAACTAGAAGCTCTCGGTGTGAACAGTGGAGTTTTGCTAGGAGCCAGACAGGGAGAGAGGAGCCGCAAACTCACACCTTGTGCGCAGGGCTGCAGGCTTCCCGTATTGATCTCATCTCTGTGCACTTTGCCAGCATTGTTCCCCTTTGCGCGTGAAGACACTAGGAACCGGAGAAGATGCTCAGGGTCATAACAGCTAGTGTGAAGCAGGTGTCCTCTCTGCAAAACCTGGTTCTATTTCTTAAAAGTCCAGAGTGCATAGTAAAATAGTAAAAATATAAAAATGCGTATTAAAACGTACAGGGAAATGGTAGCTATTTCATTTCATTGAAGCTCACTGCTTTTGTCCGCCATCGCTTGAAAGACTGCCAAATGGAATGTGTGACTTACCAGAGATCCGTTGCCTGACAAACACGGACTGGAGTTTTCACCATCTTCCTCTGGCATCTTGGGACCCAGCTAACCCTGGACGTTTCCTCGGGATCATAATGTGGAATAGTTCGTTAACTCTCAGGGAATTTTAATAACAAGGGTTATTTTAAAAACAACTTCATTTATCACTGTTGGATGCAGTAGTCTTAACGACCAAAAACACTGATTGATATCTGCACGTGTGCATGCTCTCATGCTCATGTTATCATACGTGTGTGCGCGCGCGTGTGTGTGTACACCAGAGCATTTTATAAAGCTTTTGGAAGACAAAGATTATAGGCATTTAGGCCAGTATAAAGACTTTCTGCCGGCAGAGACTTCAGAAAGAGATGGTCTGTGCTTACTGAAGTGTTCAGTCCTCTGCCACCTGCCAGTATTTATGTGTTTTGGCTAGTCATTCACTTATTGTCATTCAATCCATAGATGGAGTGAGTGCTCCTACTCTGTGGCAGGCACACAGATTCTTGAGGTTAATAATGGGGAAATAAAGCCAGCACGATCTCCGACTCAGCATTGCCAAGTGATGGATACAGACAATAATAAAAAAATTATATAGTTCAACGTGAAATGGCATCTGTAATAACAGCTGTAATGGAGAGGCTGGGGTGCCAAGAGATACAGATACAGGGCCATCGTCTGAATCTGGGGGGGAGGGGGTCAAGTACATTTTCCCCGGGAAAAAAGTGATGAGCCTGAAGGAGGAGCAGCCATTGCTTCCAGTCCGGGGCTGGTGGAAGCCAGAGCTCCCAGGGCACTGCCTCCCTCAGGCGGGAGGGGCGCTCAGGCCACGCAGGGCACTGGGGCGAAGGGCCTGAAGGGTGGAGGCGTGAAGGAAAGAAAGACATGCCTTCAAAGGTAACGTGGATGAGCTGAATAAGGATTTTGTGCAGGGGTCCTGAATAAAACATGCCCATTTGACTGAAAAGTAAAAGCAGAATATTTTTAGAGCTTTTAATACATCCACCCTTGGGGATTTGGTATGCTGGCAAAGGTAACCTGAATTAGGGTTTAAGAACAATCTTTATATTTATATTTCAATATTTATATTTGATGATAAGAGAACAAAGCGTGCCCAAGGAGTTATATACACATATTCAAGGATGGAATTTATTTTAGTTGAAAATAAATTCTGGGAGAGGAAAAAAAGAAGGACACAATCATTTAGTGGTAATTTTGCTTTCTTTAGAACATTCTTGGAATCTTATTAACATGTCAGCAAATCAGAGGATTTTGGGAAGGGATAGTGAAGAATTAATAACTGGGCTTCTCCAGGCTCCAGGATCTGAGAAGGCAGAGATCTTGTTAGCCGATTAGTGAAGTTAGATTAAACAAATCACTTCAGGTGGACATTGCACCATGTGTTGTGACTATGGCTGGGAAGTTTAAGGAGAGTTTAAAAACTGCAAAACATGATCTTTGTAATTTAAGGATGAAGCAATGGTTTAAATATCAATACACACAGTTATTTTATAATGTAATAAGTCCTTTCAAGTGTTAAACCCCATGTCCAAACATTCTGTAAATATATTCTAATATTTTGTAAATCATTTCTAGTTTTCTGAATTGTTTTGTTAATTCGTCACCTGAGGATATTTTTCCATTGATTTTTACAGAGTGGAAGAGAGGGAGGGAGGGGGAGAGAGAGAGAAATATTGATGTGAGAGAGATATTGATGGGTTGCCTCACGCATGACCACAGCCAGGGCTCAGGATCAAACCCAGACCCCTTGTTCTACGGGCCGGTGCTCTCATCACGGACCCAAACAGGCCAGGGCTAGTTTGGGGGATTTTATTGTTTCCTTTCCATAATGGATTTTCATAATCAGAAAAGATTAACTCAGTGATCATGAATTGCTTTTAATATTTGGCATCAAATCAAGGGAATTAATAAAGCATTTAAATCCCATCCTTAACAACATTAAAAGCATCAAAAACGATTCATCTAAAACTTCTTTAAGCATTTTGGAAATGAAAAAACATGGGCAGTTCTTCCATTTGCTCAGGCTTTCCCTCTAACGCTGCCTGGGCTGAGATTTCAGCTCGGTCTCCGCTGGCAGCACAACCATTTTTCTGTGTGAGCCTCAGTCCGCTACTTCCTTCTGTCAAAGTCTTCACTGAAGGCCAGTGAAGGGGGTGCCTGCAGTAGTGGCTCACCAACTGTTCCTATCAATAATGGATGCAGCACATTTTATGTAGAAAATGCCATATGAAGTTTTGAACCTGGGCATTAGACTAGTTTCCAGGAAGGAACAGAACACACCACACTGCTGGATGGGGTTGGTCTAAGAAATGTCACGGCTAGTAAACAGCTAGTGATATGCAATATGAAAATATACTTGAGAAAGTAGTCAAAATCATACACTACTATAATTGGAAATTTCAAAACTTAAATTTTTATACTGTGCTCATGTAAATTATATTTTCTGTCATTTTCTGTAATGCCTGAGGAGTATTTAAAGCAATTCAAACGAAAAGGAGAATAATGAAAAATTATCTTGCTGGAGGCTTTTGTAATAAAAACAAATCTTTTTCCTTCGTATACATGGACATTCTTCCCTGTTCTTCCATATGGAGTGTTTTCCCATGTGCAGCTAGGTAGCTTGGGAGTGGAGCTCCAAAGATCATATGTTGCCATTATATAGGTGGGTTAATCCGAAGACATTGTTTAGGATAAAAAAATCACCTGGAGAGCTCGTTGGAACTCAGACTGCTGGGTCCCACCCCCCGAAGTTATTCTGGCAGGTCTGGAGTGGGGCCTGAGAGTTTGCATTAATGACAAGTTCCCAGATGATGCAAATGCCTCAAGTCAGGGACCCCAATTTGAGAAGCACTTCATTAATGTCGTTCATTTCTATAGAAATGAGAGATTTTTTTGTTAACCTGGAAAAACTTATTTTTAGATAAACAAATTTTTGACATTCCATCAGAGAAATAGTTTTTAAATTGTAAAAAAAAACAAAACACCAAAATCATTAAGCTTAATTTATTTATATAAAGTAAATTTTTTTGAAATGAGCCCCAAAATAGTAATTTTGATTATAAAACTAATTAAAATAATTAAGACCTGCCTCTCACTTGAAATGTAAAAATATTTGAATAAAAATAGATTAAGAATTTGAAACATTTATTCAGTGTGTTCAGATGATTTTTGCAAATATATGCAATGATGCTCTTGTTTCTGTAAAATAGCTTTGGAGAAAGCATTTTTTTACTGATTTGTCACTTGTTAAACTTGCTGTTGAATTAATTTTTCCCCATTGAAACATATGTTTATAACTAATGTGATCAGTTTCACTATCTGTATGCCTTACTTTCACTGTAGAATTACAACGCGATGGCAGGCACTTGCTAAAAAGACAGCCAGGTGTTGTCTTTTCAGTGAGTCGTTCTATATTTAAAAGGACAGTGACTCTCAGGAGGGATGGGAGCTGAACAACCTCACTTTGACATTAATATCTTATCTAATTTTTCTGCTATGGTTCTCATTTTAGTTATTCTTCTGTGGCTGACCAGAAGGAAATACGACTTTTTTCTTTCTGTTCTGAGATATTTGAGACTGCCTTTTTGTGTCAGGAAGCAGATTTTAAATGTTCCTAGTATTTAAATCCAGACTTGTACCTTTGGAATGTACTGAAACATGTAATATAGTCATATAAATATATGATTAGTAGTTGAAAATCAAAACTTTGTCATAATGAAGCTACTGTTTTACTTACACTGATTCTACCAAGTTCAGTGTTGTAAGAAGTATTCGGGATTGGCAAATTCGGTGTAATGTTGACCATACACGTTAAGTTTAATGGTAATACAATTAGCTACTACACTCCTTGACACAGTATATAAATCCACTTTGTTCTTTTCCTCTCAGGAAATCTCTACTCAGTGCTCACCCAGTCCCCTTAAATCACATTAGAAAGTAAGGCACGTGTGAGGGGGTAGAGAGAGGAAATCTGATTATGGGCTAAGGAAAGATGACTGCTCAGGGACAATGGAAACATTATCTTCCTCTCTTTTTTCCGGTCTTCTTAAAAAATGAAATATATATTTTTTATTCTTTTTTTTTTTTTATCTAAACAATAACAAGATACAAAATAACTGTTGCTTGGTTTTCTCCAGGATTGATTTAATACAACTGAAGACTGCTCTTGAAAACTACTAAGAAACTTCAGCTAGAGCAAACTCAGCAACCCTATGTTGAGACGGTCATTTATCAGTCCTTGGGAGCTGGTGTCAGAAAACCTGTTCAAACCAGCTTAAGCACAAAGAATATATTGTCTATGACAACTGGAAACTCCAGGGGGTAGTTTCAGGCATCCCAGGATTCAGGACTCGAAGGTGTAAGCAAATTACTTGTTTGGTTCACCCCCCCCCCCCCACTCCGCCCTTTTCTCTGCCTTTGATTGTGTAAGTTTCCTCCTGGGGCTCTGCCAAGCAGCTGGGTGCTCTCCTCATGGGGCATGATGTCTGCAGCAGCTCCACCTCACGTTCCCCACGTTCCAGTTTCAGGCTGTCATGGCTTTGTAATGGGTCAACTTAGCTCAACTAAACTGTTTCCAGAGTTCTCTCTATTCTCCACTAAATCGTTCTGATTAGGTTTGGCCTCAAGAGAAATCTGTGGAAGATCCGGACGGTCACAGTGGAGCAGTAGCCATTGCGACTCTTGGAAGGTAGATGTGGGTCAGGCCCCACTGCAGCCCTGACTCAGCCTGTCTGTGGGGGAGGCAGCTGCCTGGCCTGCAGCTCCAGTTGCCCTTGGTTCTCCACCTTTCCCTCCTCCAGATCCCCGCCTGGTGTGAGTGTGAGTCTGTAGCAAGAGTACCACATCTCCTGTGGGTTATCCACAGCAGCTGGGTTGCGGGCTTGGCGTCAAGGAGGGACCAACATGGGTCCGGTGACTGACGGATACAGATTCTAGCTGCCCCTGCTCTTCCCCAGTCCATGTACATTTTTGCTTTCACTCAGCCTGACCTATGACTTCCGGCTCAGCACCAGAGACAAAAGAAAAAGCCAGGTAAGACCATGGCCAGCTCTCACAAGTGTGTCTGGTTAAATCACTGTGGTAAATCCTTGTTACCCA